TGTAGACTTTGGGTTTCACAATATGGTGAAATATGCAAGTGAACTCTCTAGCAACCTCATGAATCAGTAAACGAACCTTGTCGTTTGCGTTTCTGATGAAATTCTATTTTAAGCCCTCTTAGTTCTGGATGGTTCTATAGCCCATACGTCGCTTAGTTCTAATTGGATGATCTCTCTGTTAATAATGTAATGTTCAATGTAATGCTCCACAGTTCCATATGCGAAACGGTTCATGCACTAATTGAACTGGTTCATGTTCATGTTCATGTTCATGTTCATTATTCATTGATCAACTTAATGCTCCACAGCCACAATATATTGTGCATTGGGCTATTCATGCATTAGTCAATTGGTCAATATATTGATGGTATTGTATTGCTGAGACTGGGTTGAACAATTGAGGTTATGTTGAAAATTTTAGAGGTTAGGTACATGAACTGAGTCTAAGTTGAGCATGTTACTCTTTTGAGCATGTTATTTATTATATATGCACTTAAGTTGATCAGTCCCAAGCAATATTTTAGCTATTTACTTTATTTCATAAACATTTTTGAAACATTTGTGAGAAGCATTTCAAAAGTTTCACATAGACTCTTCAACGCTTATTCAATTTAGTTTTTGGACTTTCATTATCTTCTAAAAACTAAAATTATTTACATATGTCTGAGTCAGCTTTATTTTGAGGTTATAAAAACAAAAGTTGAAAAAAAAAGGTATAAAAATAAATGATAACACTAAGTCCTTTCTAGCTATGGCATTCATGACAGATTGAGGATCCTTCACTTGATCGCATATTTTTATGTATATATGTATACATATTTATATATTTTAATTAGATCACTTCACAATTCGGATCAAGTGGAGCATAATTCTAAGATTTCGTTCAAACACAACTAGATATACGTTTACTACAGGTATATCTCAATGCTTTTCGCTTGTCTTTACTTTGGCCTTTATGTACATATACAATAGTGGAGACATATCAAGACTCTTCAATACTTTGGGTCCACTGAATTGTAGAGACAACAGCTTTGGCACACTGTAGATAAGAGACTGAATAGCACAATCTTTCCAGATAGATTTATTGCAACTCAGACAGCTATATACAC